CTCCTCCTCCTCCTCCTCCTCCTCCTCCTCCTCCTCCTCCTCCTCCTCCTCCGGTGCCTCCGGTGCCTCCGGTGCCCGGGAGGGGCGGCGAGGAGGCCGCAGGGGCCAGCAGGGCTGCCTGGGAAGCCCCGAACGAGAAGCCCCGCGAGCGAGGCCCCCAGGGATCGGCCCCGAGGTGTTCCGCAAGAGCTGGAGCGCCGGGGCTGTCGTGACCGGTGGCGCATTCTCATTCGGCCACGCGCAGAGGGGGGTGGGGGGAGGGGGGACCCTGAGATCATGGCGTTGCATTTTTTTTGCAACGGGCGTTTTCGCTCGATTTCGGGCCCCGGGACCCTCACAGATCGATCGGGCTCGAAAAATGACGCAGAAAGATGAGGTCCGGGGCCCCAGACGTGATTTTTGCGATGTTCCACTTCTTTTGCAACGTCGGATCTCAGGGTGCGTGCGTGGGTCTGGAGGGGGCACCTCGGTCCAGGGGCACCGGGTATGGTCAAGACTTCAGCTCTCGCTGGGGAGTGCTCCAATGGACTGGCCTCTGGCGCGGTTTCCAGCGGGGTCCTCAGGGTCTCCGCGGCGCCCCTCCTCCTCCTCCTCCTCCTCCTCCTCCTCCTCCTCCTCCTCCTCCTCAAACATGGATCAGCGATCCATGGATCTGGCGCGCAGTCGCTAAATCCATGGATCGGGGGAGGCACCCTCCCCAGATTGCGGCCGGCACCGCCCCGCTCGGATGCGGAAGTCCGCGATTTACCATGGAAACGGGGCTAACCCACGCCCCCTTGATCCATGTCTGCGATCGCCTGAGTCTCCTGAGACCAACTCGTTCGACGCACTCGTAAACTCGTTCCCCCCCCCTCTCCCCCTGCGACGGGCGCCTCTGTCGGGCGCGAGCCTGGGGCGGCTGGCCGACCGTGGCCTTCGGAACTGCCCACAACAACAACAACATCATCAACAACAACAACAACAACAACAACAACAACAACAACAACAACAACAGCAACAACAACAACGACGACAACAACAACGACGACAACAACAACGGAAAGGCGTGCACTCCGGCCCCGGTCAGGGCCGGAGCCTCCGGTGTCACTCCGCCGGTGGACGGGCGCACACTCCGGCCCCGTGGGTGTGTTGGCCTGAGACGCTGTGTGACGACGACGTCTCCGGCCCTGCGGGAGGCCGTCTGCGGCGATTTCGCGCCGCGGTGGGCAAACGTACACTCGGGCCCCGTATTCCCCGTCATCTGCGCGGTTCCCTCCACAGAAAACGCTCCCCGTGCGCTACCCCGTTTTCCGGCCCCGTGTGCAGCTAAGACAACCTCAGGGACGGACCCTCACGACGACGACGACGACGACAACGACGACGGGGATCCTGAGGAGTCCTCGGGAGCCCTGAGGAGTCCTGAGTGTCCTTATGAATCTTTGGGGGCCCTGAAGAAGTCTACGATATCCCAAGGAGCCCTGAGTAGGCCCGCAAGATCTTGAGCAACCATGGCGAGGTCCTGAATAATGCTTGGGAATTCCAAAGGATTTCTGTGAGGTCCTGAGGAAACCTGTGTTCTCGGGAGGAATCCTGAGGAATCCGGATGCATCCTGACGAATGCTGACGAATCTTGAGGAGTCTTGATGAGTCCAGAGGAAGCCTAGGGGATCCTGAGGAGTCACTGTGTGTCCTGAGGATTCTTGTGCAATTCTGAAAAATGCCAAGGGGTCATGAGAAATCGTGAAGGGTTGAAGGGGTGCCCTGAGGGGATCCTGGGGAATCCTGTGGGATCGTGAGGAGCCTTCAGGCATCCAGGAGAACCTTTGAGGAGGATCCTGAGGCATCAGTGTGGATCCTGAGGAGGAAGCCATCGGACTTTTTTTTGGGGGGTCCTGGTGAACCCTGAGGAGTCCTGGGGGGTCCTGACGAATCCTGACGTGTCCTGAGGAGTGTTTGGGGGTCCTGAAGAATTTTAAGATATTCTGAGGAATCCCGAGCAACCCCTCGGGATCTTGAGAAATTCTGGGGAGATCCTGAAGAACCCTTGGGGGTCCCACGGGTTCGTGTGGGATCCTGAGGGTTTCTGGGGATTCGGAGGAATCCCGAGGAACCTTGAAGGGTCCAGAGGAATCCTAGCGAATTCTGAGGAGTCCTGATGAGAACCCAGAGGAAGCCTAGGGCATCCTGAGGAATCCTTGTGGGTCCTGGGGGATCCTGGAGGATCCTGAGGAATCTTCAGGAGTCCTGAAGAATCCTGAGGGGCACCCTGACGGGATCCAGAGGAATCCTTAGGGCTCTTTCGGGGCCTTCAGGCATCCTGAGGAACGTTGGGGAATCCTGAGGAATCATCGTGGATCCTGAGGAGCAATACATAGGACTCTTTTGGAAGGCGGGGGGGGTCCTGGGGAATCCTGAAGGAGTCCTCGGGAATTCTGAGGAGTCCTGAGGTGTCCTGAGGAATCCTGGCGAATCCTAAGGGGTCGTGATGAGCCCAGAAGAAGCCGAGGGGATCCTAAGGAGTCCTAGTATGTCCTGAGGATTCCTGAAGAGCCTAGCGGAACCCTGAGAAACCCCAGGGAGATCCTGAATAATCCTTTGGGGTCCCAAGAGGTTCTGTGGGATCCTGAGGAACCCTGGGCCTCGGGAGGAATAAGCCCTCGGCTGCTGGAGCTTATCTTACCCTTAAGGATAAACATTTGAGTTTTGAGAGAAGAAGAAGACGATCTCAACAACAAGCAGGGGCCGGTGTTAACGCCTTACCGAACAACAACAACAACAACACCAACAACAACAACAACAACAACAACAAATGAAAGCATACACGTTCCCCTATCTGTTGAGGGTCTCTTGAGGCTGTCTTGAGGCCATCTTGGGGGCATGCTGGGCCGTCTTGGGGACCTGTTGGGCCGTCTTGGGCCCCTCTGAGCCGTCATGGGGTCTCCTGGGGCGGTCAGGGGGCCCTAGCGGGCTGTCTTGGGGCCCGCTTGGGCTGCCCCTCCGTGGCCCCTCCTGGGGCGGTTTGGGATGTCCTGGGCTCCTCTTGTGCCTTCTTGGATCTCTCTTTGGGCCGTCTTGGGTTTTTGTTGAAGCCATCCTGTGACGATCTTGTGGGCGCTCGTGGGCCGTCTTTGAAGCTCCTGGTTCCGAGGGCGGTGGCGACGACGGCGGCGGCGACGACGACGACGACGACGACGACGACGACGGCGACGACGGCGACGGCGACGACGACGACGACGGCGACGGCGACGGCGTCGGCGACCCTGAGATCCGACGTTGCAAACAAGTTGCCGCATCGCAGAACATCACGACCAGACCCCCGCACCCCTATCTTTCTGCGTCATTGTTCGAGCTGGATCGATCTGTGAGGGTCCCGGGGCCCGAAATGGAGCGAAAACGCCCGGCTCGAAAAAAAATGAGTGGACAGGATCTCAGGGGACGGCGACTGCGTCGACGACGACGACAGCGCCCTGCTGCCCGCGTAGAGGCGCCCACGAGGCTGGCCGGGGCAGCGCGCGGCGTGCCCTTCCGGGCCGTGGCGGCCGGGGCGCAGCACGGGCTGGCGCTGTCGCGCAGCGGGAAGGCGCGCACGGCAGCCCTGCTCCTGGGGATCAAGCAGTGGCGAAGCGTCCTGGCTCGCCTATAGCCCTACCAAACAATGGTCTGAGAACCGCTTGTGGTTTCCACGAAATGCTCTTAGAACATTTCTGGCTGGGACCGTCTTGGTTTAACACATCGGGTAAATGTTCCAAGAATATTGTTTTTGTTCTTCGGACATCTTTGGGTTCTAAGAACATTTCGTGGTAGGACTATAGGAATGCTGGGACGGTCGGTCCCTGCTCAAGGGGAGGTGGGCCCGAGGAGGAACAAGTACCCCAGACTCGGAGGGGGGAGATGCGACACCAACACCACCAGAGGGCCCACCTCTAGCGAGGAGGTCCACGATGCCTCCCCGCGCTGGATGTTGGGAATGTCTCGAGCGAGAGGGGGGGCCACACCACCAGGGAGACAAGCTCTTGCTCCTCGCATCTCATCGCCCTGTTGGTGTTGGTGTCGCCTTTCCTTGTTCGTACAGACGTGATCGGGTCGTGCAAAAATCGGGACGGAAGGTTTTTGGTCTTTTTTGGCCCCGGGGGGCCCTCGCTGGGCCTCGGGAGCATCCAAAAACCACTCAGGATGAAAAGCTGGTCACCGTGGAAAGGGTCGAGACTTCCAAGGGACGCCGCCCTGAAAACACCAGGGCGTCGCATGTCTGGGTACCCATGCCGCTACGCTTCCCTCGTTGTCGCCTTTTTGTAGGCCTCCAGGGAGGCCCCCCGTCGCCACCGCTGGCTTCGCTCCGAAATTCGGGTCAGGACGCACCCCGGGAGAGGTCACACTTCCTTCGGTTTCGCCTTCTTGGGCCTCCTGACCCCGTCGCCACCGCTGGCTTCGCTCCGAAATTCTGGTCAGGACGCACCCCGGGAGAGGTCTGGGGAATAGCAGTATCGAAAAGTCGGGCCTGTCCCTGTACAGGAGGAAAATTCCAGAATATTAAAACAAATTGCCTAAAATCCGCCTGTAGGAGGACATGCCCGACCTAACAGTATCCGAACTTTTTGGTTTCCCCAGGGCCGAGGGCCCTAGGGACACGCTTCATGTTAGACACGGATCGACACGGAGTAGACACGGACATGTAAGGATCTCTCCAGCCGTTGGTCCGGTTCCAACGCGCATAGGCATGACAGCCTTACAGTTTCTGTTTTTTCTCCGCAACTCGAGAATTGCGTGGGACATCGTGACAGCCCCGAGTCTAATTTTTTTGGGGGGGGGCGGCGTCTTGCAGGCTGGGGGGGGGTGGGGCGGAGGAGGATTCAGCCCATGGGGGAGCAGTCGAGGGTCTTGGGGCATGCTCGTCGGCTCTCGGCGGCGTGTCGGCCTCGGGGTGTTTTTTTTTGCTCGAGCACCCGCGCCTCGCCGCGGGCGCACTCCAGCCGGAAGGCCGAGAGGATAGTACGACCAGTGGAAGCGACAAGGGCGCTGGGCCAACAGGCAGGTCCTGGGGCAGGGCTCGGGAGTTCTGATGGGGCGGCGAGCTGCAAGCGGGAAACCGGTGGGCCTCGGCAAGGGACGAGCGTGTTTGTCGTTTGCGGCCGTTCCCGGAAGTTTCTGTCCAGCCTCGGGGTGCTTCCCTGCGGCTGCGCGTCGCCGGGAGCGTTCCGAAGGTACCCGAGCCGTCCCTGACGACGGTGGGAGACTCGAGTTCGGGACCCGAGTGCCAGAGAGCGTGCAGGGGTGGGAGGAGAAGCGGGGAGGGAGGGATGGAGGTTGCGCTGGGGAGACCCACAACATGTTGCGCTCGCGTGCGATGTCCACGACGCGGCCCGGCGTTCACTACGACGCTTCGTGGGTTTGCGTGGCTCCGTGGATCTGTGGGCAGCGCGCGCTGCGGGCTAGGGACAGAATTCGTTATTACCAGAACGATTGAAAGGGGGGAGGCGCCCCTGCGAGCTGAAAGCCCACTACAGGGCGCTTCGAAGTGCACGCGCAGCTGAAGCCGAAGCCGGAGGAAGCAGGGAGGAAGAGCGCACCACGAGCGGCATGCCGTTTCGGGCCGTGCGGGTCTGGACGCGGCGAAGGCCGTCGCCGAACGGACGGGGCGCCGTCTCTCCGACGCAATTATTCGGGTTCAGGAGAGGGAGGAGGGGGAGGAGGAGGAAGCGGAGGAGGAGGAGCAGAAGGAAGAGGAGGAGGAGGAGGAGGTGGAGGAGGAGGAGGAGGAGGAGGGGGAGGGGGAGGAGGGCGAGGAGGGGGAGGAGAAGTTTGGGGGATGAGGAGGAGGAGGGGGAGGAGGAGGAGGGGAAGGAGGAGGAGGAGGAGGGAGGAAGGGCTTGCCAGGGGAAGGGGGCGGCAGCCTTGGTGACCGGTCATGGGAGCTGCTGTTCGCGCGGTTCGGGTGCCCGAGGCCCGCGGTGGCAGTCGCGGGTGGGAGGCACGTCGCTGTAGTGTGATGCTCCATGGCAGCCTTCAGCGGCAAGCACGGGGGGAAGTGAGGCGGGGAGAGCCCTCTCAGAAAGCGGCGGGGCTTCTCAGAGGCCCTCCAACCTTCTGAGACGTTGTCTGCGTCTTCGGGGAAGGCTCAGGAAGCCTTCCGAGCTTTCTGAGAAGGCCCGCCCCTCCACACTTCCCCCCAGGCTGGCCGGCGAAATTTATTTCAGGCTGGATCACCCGTAAGAATTTCGAGCGCCAGGAAAGTGCCGAAGCTCGAGGGTTTTTCGGTGTCGGGCACTGGGAGGCGATACTCGTTCGACACTGTTTCGACACTGTTCTGGGTGCTCGAACGTATTCCTGACATGTGTTCCTTGAGTACGATGGGAGCAACATAACGCTGGACAGGGATCGAAAGGCTCCTGGTTGCACAACTGCGACCAGTATACAGCTTATCACCACCCACCAGACCACCCCAACGCAACCTGAATGCCCCAATTTGCCCTCCATTCCCAGTGGGGGAGGCGTCGGGGAGCATTAAAGAAAAACCTGTGCGGAACCCGTACACCCTCCAACCCGAAGTGCGGGTCTTCGGGTTAGGTTGGGGTAGTCTGGCAGGTAGTCAACAGTTTATCGTGGCAGTGGCGGAGAGGAAGCAGACGGGCTGGACAACGACGAAGCGCCCTTCGTTGGAGCAACGGCATAGGGCTGCCAGCACGGGGCAGCGGCCAGCGCGCATTTCACGACAAGCGTTGGGCAAGTCTACACAACAGGACTGCACTCGAGGAGAGCGCACAACGGCAAATGAGCCTCAAGGCAATGTGTGCAATTTGTGAGCCACGAAGCGCGCTGATCGGCAGTGTCGGATGCGCTTGCCTGCTCGAGTGATCGCGGCCCCTGGTGCACGGGGGCGCGTGCGCCCCTGAGCCCATACCTCACGCTTAGATGCCCGATCGTGGTCCTCCAGGCGGGCGAATACGCAGAAGGCCTGCAGCGGAAGGACCTCGGCAAGCACCCACTGCCCAGCATGCGGGGCGCCGCTCACCAGACACATGGGCCATGCATCCCAGCCGTGCGCGAACCCATGCCATGCACATAGGAGAACGAATAATGACATAAACATAAAAACTCGGAGGTCCGCTCGCTCCCTTGATGTGCCCCCGGGCCGTCAGTGTGCTATAATGTGCCATGTGATCGCCGACCGGTGCCCACGCTTGGCGCGGCAGCGGCTGCGAGATCGGAAGATTTGGGGCAGCGTGTCGCTTCTCCTTCTCGAGCCAACGTGCGTTTCGGCGCCGCGCGCGATGCACTTCCCGCACCCCCAGCGCCAGCCCAGCTTACACACCGTCTATCTTTGGCGTGGAGAGCATTCGCAAAATTCGAGCATGTGCTGTGTTCGCGGTCATAGACGCTGCGAGAAAGCTTAATTTTGCCTGTTCGAGAGCGCTGTCACCCCGGCTGCGCTGTATGCGTGTGAGTGCCGGATTTGGGATTCTCCCCCCAAGACAGATTGAAAATTGCGAGGAGCAAGATGCTCTGCAGCACGTTCCGGACAACAAGGGGCGCCACGGAATCGTACGTCGATTACATCCGGCGTTCCACAGAGGTCGTGGAGGCCTATGACACAAAAGCCAGCATTCAGAGCTGGGTTGATCTTCGGCGCAATCGCATAGCAAAGCTCGCTGCCCGCGTTTTCCTGGAGCCGGAACACAAGTGGTGCAAGCGGCTATTGGATTGAAAGCCGTGATTCAGAACGGACGCCAAACGATCTGTCGGCAGGCAGCGTCTGAGATGGGCGGATTCGTTGAATACGTGAGTTTTCCCCGTTGCCTGTCTCACCAGTATTTGTTTTTCCCGATCGCACGTGCACGGTCTGCCCCTCAGGAGAAGGCTCCAGCTGCCGGAGCAATCACGCAGACTTCCTGTCCTGTCCAGCGCCAGCGTAGCGGAGCGACACGCCATCCGCTCGCGAGGAGCAGCGTGTCGCCGGCCCGCCGCTGCGACACGCGATCCAAAAGTTCCCGACCGTAACCAAGCGGTGCCTATGTTTGGCACGACAGTGGCGAGCTAGGGCGCGCTCCGTCGGAATGCGCGCGGGGAAGACCCGGGCGGCGATGCTCTGCCCAGGCAGGGCTCGGGGAAACGGATGTTGTCCAGACGCCGATTCCGCTCGACGCCGCCCCGCAGGAGGGCAAACCACTCCTGGGGGGCGTCGCGCATCCTTCCTCCCCCTCCTGCTCCCCCGCTATCCATCATCCCTTCCTTCCTCCATCCCTGCCCCAACCCCCTGCTCCCCCCCACTGCCCTCCGCCCCGCCCCCCTGCCTCCCGCTCCCCCCTCTCCCCCCTGCCGCCCCCCTGCACCCCCCATACCCACCCCTGGACCCCCGTCCCCCAGGAGGAGGAGGAGGAGGAGAGGATGAGGAGGAGGAGGAGGAGGTGAGGAGGAGGAGGAGGAGGAGGGGGAGGGGCAAGGCGTAGGAGGAGGAGGAGGAGGAGGAGACACACGAGGAGGAGGAGGAGGAGGAGGAGAGGAGGGGGAGGGGTGAGGTGAGGAGGAGGAGGAGGAGGAGGAGGATGGAGGAGGAGGAGGAGGGAGGAGGAGGAGGAGGAGGGCGGAGGAGGCGGAGGAGGAGGAGCAGGAGGAGCAGGAGGAGGAGGAGCAGAAGAGGAGGAGCAAGGGAAGAGGAGGAGCAGAAGGAGGAGGGAGAGGAGGACGAGGAGGAGTTAGGCCCCCCCCTGCGCCTGCCTCCCCCTTCAGCTCCGTCACCCCTTCCCCCGTCATCCCTCCACCCTCGCGCTCTCCACCGCCCCTCCCTCCCACACCCTGTCGTCCTCCGCCACAAGGTCTACAGCTGGGGGAACAGCAAGAACGGGCGGCTCGGCCTCGGGGAGGCGCTGCGGGCCCCTCCCGCCCCCCCCCCCCTTTCCCCTCCCCTCCCCCCCCCCTCCGCGCCCATCCGCGGGCGGGAAGGATGAGAGGGGGCACGGGGAGGGAGAGGGGGGTGAGATGCAGGGCTCAGTATGACTCCTTCAGTTCGATGTGATTCGATCTACGTGGCTTTCGGTTCCGACTCGATTCGATCTGGGATTCCGAATTGGCCTGCCGATTTCCGCCGATCCGACGCGTCGCCGATCCGACTCATCGATTCGATTCTGGGCTCTTCCAGAGCTGAGATGAGACGACACCTGGGAAACGTCCTAAGTGGCAGGGCCCAGGCCGAAGGCAAAACTCGGGGAGGCTGCGCCATCAGAGGAGACGTTGTGGAGCGCCGCGGGGGGCTCGACTGCCCCGCGCGGCGCCCCGCGACAGGGGCAAACCCATACTGCCAGGGCCCGCCTCGGGCCTGCCCCTTGGTTCGCGACGAGGGGGGGCGGGGATGAGTGGGAGGCGAAACGGACGAGGGGTAGGAGGAGGAGGAGGAGGAGGAGGAGGAGGAGGAGGAGGAGGAGGGGGAGGAAGGGGAGGAGGGGGGAGGAGGGCAGCTAAGGTGCGCTCGCGGTCATATCTGACGTCATACCCCTCCCTCCATCCCTTACCATGGCGTGTGGTGGTGGTTGTGGTGGTGGTGGTGATGGTGGTGCTGGTGGTGGTGGTGGTGCTGGTGGTGGTTGTGGTGGTGGTGGTTGCGGCGCGGTGGTGGCGGGCGGATGGGCGCGCGAGAAAGAGGCCCGCGCTGGGGCGAGAACGCCATCCTGAACGACGGAGGCAAACACCGATCCGAAAATGAGGCCCACGCTGCAGCGGGAGCACGATTCGGAACGATTCGGGAGCAGAAATGAGGCCGGCGCCTCAGCGAGAGCATTATTATTATTATTATTACTACTATAATAATAATTATTATTATTATTATTATTATTATCATTAGTATTATTATTACTACTTTTACTACACTTATTATTATATCATCATTTTATCATTATTGCATCATTGTATTATTATATTATTGTTATTATTATTGTTATTATTATTGTTATTATCATTTACACAAACAACGCAGGCGAAAACCCGTTTCCCGGGAATCCTGTGTGTAAAAAACAGTACGCGGGGGGGGGTCGGCCATCTTCGGGACGCCATCAGGGGAAGTGGGAGAGTATTTTCATATTGTGTAATTGTGGTGGAGGAGGAGGAGGAGGAGGAGGAGGAGGAGGAGGAGGAGGAGGAGGAGGAGGAGGAGGGGGAGGTAGGCGGGGGAAGAGGGGGGGCGGGGAGGGAGGGTGGGGAGGGGAGGAGGAGGAGGAGGAGGAGGAGGAGAGGAGGAGGAGGAGGAGGAGGATTGAGGCGGCAGGCTCCCAGAGGTAGCGAGGCAACCATGAAATGCAGCACGGGCGTGAGAGCGCACCCGGGCCCTTGCAGGTGGCGAGGGCGAACGCGACAGGGCAATCGATGCGGATCGGCCGATGAGCAGCTCGCGAGGACATTGGCAGAACTGCGGCGGGGACCCCAGATCACGAGCTTGAGCGCGCTCAGGGCCAGGAGGTCGAATTCGGGGAAGGCGGCTGCTGGCTTATCACAATCTCCATCTTGGCAATCACCTCGAGAAGGTCCACCAATGCGTGAACATCCATATCGCTCTGCTCCAACATCGAACGGAATACCGACCTCACGGGTACAGAGCTTTTACCCCATGTTGTTCGGAAGCGGTAGGCCAAGTTCGTGAAGCCCCTCGCCGACAACGAGGTCCCAACGCTTGCACGAACACCAACGAGCACAAGCTTGAGGCTAGGGCCTTGACTGGGAGGAGAGACCATAACCTCCTCTGCCACCAGACCAGCAGGCCGAAGTGAAACATCAGACTCCGACGTAGATGAAGTCGCACAGCACGCACGACCGCCCAACGCCGATGAGGCCAACGAAACTTGTGGACCCAGCAGCTCCTTCCGAACATACCCTCCATCTTCAGATACGCAACCATCATCTTTAACTCCGCGTCCTTCTGGGCCTGGCGCTCGATGATAAGCAGGCTCTTCTCTAACCCCGTCCTCACAAGGCAAGGTCGGGGCGCAGAAGGCGCTCCTTGACGATGTGTTTCTGGCTCAGCTCCAGCCTGTGCGCGCCATCCGCTCGCCTGTGAGCTGCTGGCCCTTCTGCCTCCTCAGCTGCGTTACCGCCCGTCGCGCCGAAGAAGAGGAGGCCGCAGGCTCCCACGTGCCCCAAACCTCCTCGGCCTCCAGGTTGGTATCCACCGCCGCCTGCATCTCCACCTGCCTCTGCATCACAGGGCGAGGTGGCCTCGGGGGTGAGGGAGGGCGCCCCGGCGGAGCCGCGCGCTCGGCACCACGGCCTTGCCGCCCTTGGCCTTCTCCTTGGAGGAATCCATGCTTTGCCTCATGCTTTTTCTGCGGCCCCTGCCTGCTCTGCGATTCCACCTTGTCCCGTTCCACAGCCAGCCCCGACCACCTCGGAAGCGCAGCACCGGTCCTGCCGAAATTGCTCGCTCCAGGCGTGCAGGAGAAGGAGGAGGAGATGGCAGAGAAGTAGGAGGAGAAGGAGCAGGAGCAGAAGGAGGAGGAGGAGAAGGAGGAGGAGGAGGAGGAGGAGGAGAAGAGGAGGAGGAGGAGGAGAGGAGGAGATGGCGGAGAAGTAGGATGAGCAGGCTGAGGAGGAGGAGGAGGAGGAGGAGGAGGAGGAGGAGGAGGGGGAGGAGGAGGAGGAGGAGGAGGCAGGATGAGGAGGAGGAGGGGAGGTAGCCGAGGAGGAGGATGTCGTGGAGCTGGCGGCGGAGGAGGGGGCCGGGCCGCGCTGCCGCCTGGGCCGCGCCCTGGTCGGCGCGCAGGGCGCGGGGGGCGGCTCGCTGCGCCTGGGCGCCGGCCGCCCGTCGGAGCGCGGCGCCCGCGGGCGCTCGGCGGCGGAGCGCGGCGCGCCGGCCCCTGAGATCCCGGCGACTCTGCTGACGAAGTCGCGCGAAGGCCTGAAGACAACTGCCGGTGCCCGAGCCGTCGTGCACGTCGAAGCAGGCCCGGCGGAGGAGGGAGCCGCCGAAGTCCTAGGCGTCAGAGGCAGCCATGTGATGAGGACCGTGTGCGCTGGGCGCCGCAGGCGCCACCAGAGGGGTCCAGCGCCGATCCAGGATATCAGGATGTCCTCCCTGAGATCCTGGCGGCTCGCTTTTTTCGAGCCGGGCGTCTTCGCTCCATATTACAGGATCGATCCGGCTCGAAAAGTGACGCCGAGAGATGGGGTCCGGGGGTCTGGTCGTGATTTTTTGCGATGCTGCATTCTTTTTGCCCCGTCGGACCTCGGGGGCCACGCGCGAGAGTGGCCATGCTCCAGAGTGGCCCTTGCTGCGTGCCCACGGGGCCTCGCGGCATTGGCCCGTGCGCCTGTATGTCTGTGGAAGACGATCCATGGAGAGGAGGCATATTGCCAAGTAGTTCCCAGATGTGATGTCTCAGACATGTTTTACATATGTGCCTACAGTGCCGGTTTTAAGACATGCTCCGCGTGCGGATTATGTATCAAAAATAAGGGGGTGACTCATACATGCAAGGATGAGTTCATGCATACATTTATTCATTTAGCAATCATGTCTTAAAACTCCTATATATATATTAGAAATCCAATGTATCATGACCTGCCCTGTAGTTCGTCAAAACATACTTTAAACAAGTTTGACACATGTAGAAGGTATGCTAAAGGAATGTGTAATTCAATGTTAACGGTTCGAGTGTCCAGTGTCATGGCATTTGCAACTGTATGTGTCCCCCCTCCCCCTACGTCAAGGGAGGACAAACCACCCCGACGCCCATGATTGGCGGCCCTGGGCGTGTACGAAACAGCCCCGTCCTGTTCGATTCCTTCCTTGGGTGCGTGTGCTGAACGGCTTCGTCGGGGTGCTTACTAAGGTTCGTTCTTTCTTCCGACCCTCTGCTACGGTCCCGAAAAGCCGCGCGGCACCAGTCACTCCTGCCCAAGGTCGCTCTTGCGCGAGGGCCGATCTCGGGGTCGGCTGTCTGCGCTCGAACAAGACGAAGAAACTATATGTTTTTTTCGGAGATCCTCGAGCCCTGAGATCCGACGTTGCAAACAAAATGCAACATCGCAAAAAATCACGACCAGACCCCCCGACCCCATCTTTCGGCGTCATTTTTCGAGCCGGATCGATCTGTGAGGGTCCCGGGGCCCGAAATGGAGCGAAAACGCCCAGCTCGAAAAAAGCGAGTCGCCAGGATCTCAGGGAGGATATCCTGGATCGGCGCTGGACCCCTCTGGCGGCGCCTGCGGCGCCTTGCGCAGACGGTCCTTATCACATGGCTGCTTCTGATGCCTAGGATTTCGGTGGCTATCTCTTCCGCCGGGCCTGGGTCGACGTGAACGACAGCTCGGGCACCCGCAGCTATCTTCAATATTTCGCGCGATTTCGTCAGCAGAGTATTGTTCGGCGACTACAAAGGGTATGGTTACGCCGGGGTGTGGCTTGCGATCGGCAGTGTCAGGGCCTGGCGAGCATGACACCGCGCCTCCAGGCTGTTCAGCGGAGTCCAGCCAAGTGCTGCGGAAGCATTGGAGCGAGGCACTCATACGATTCTGTTTTTTGTTCCACCTAAAATCTGATTTCAGCGCATCCCAGCCAAATCTTTACCGACCCCCCTGCATCCCCTGCAAGTAGTTGTACGTTTGCGACCTCGTTCATGAAAAATCATTTTCTTCCCCGAATCCTTTGCAGACTTTGGACGAAGTGAAAGCGCGCGAGTCGTCGCGCGCGCATGCCGACATCCTTCACATAACTTTGGTGCCGTACGGATTTCAAGATCGAGTGTCCAAAATAAATATAAAACATATGATTTCGCAACAAAGATTGTCATCTAACGCTTGCGCTCCGGATCTTGCGAGTTCTTACGAAAACCATCGGGTTTCCAACATATACATAGCATGCTACCAAACGGGCCTCTCG